TCTAGGATTTATTTATATGAAACAAGTGAAACAGCCGAGTGCTGGAAGCCGACTGGCACATATTTATCACAAATTCACAATCGACATTGAATAGCGCATAAGATGCATAGATAGATAAAAATTACCACACATTCACAATCGACATTGAATAGCGCATCAGATATCACTATGCATAGGTAGATGAAGATCCCCCAATTTTTACATACATCACCTTATCATCATCGCCTCGTATACCGCTATCGCTTATGAATTGCAAACTTAAATATCAGTCCTCTCCGTCGCTCGCTGTTTCCTCCGAATTATCTCTTAATTGGAGATTGGTACTCCACGCTAAAGTAGCCAAAACCACAAGAACAGCTGACTATGTAATTATATTATTACTATGAATATAGCCACTAATTACATGTGTAATTAATTACGTATATAACACGATATAGGCACTTATCAAAAGTCGTGTTACATTGAGGATAATTCCAGGGTCCATGTTATTTTGGAGCTGCGAATAACCTGACGGATTACCAGAGTTTCCGCTCGAAGTAAAGGCAGGATCGGAATAGTTTTTAGTCAGTAACAGTCTGACACTCTCTCTTGTCTCGTCTCGACCCAAGGCGGGAGAAGTCTTTAGATGATTGACCCCTTGAAAACAAAGGTTTCATGAAAATTTGAAAAAGCATTGAAGCAGACTTTTCCTTTGCTTTCTCTGAAGCCATTTCTCTAGTCACTATCAACCCCTTTAGGAATAATAACTTTATGTTCTAAACCAGGAACAATCACAAAACATGATTAATATTGTACATACCGCTTTCATACGAGGATCGGCACGTTCATCGCAACGTTTTGCCATATCGTTCCCGTTCGCCCGTAACCAGAAAACATTTTCCACGTCCCAGTATTTCGTTTGTAACACGTTCTTGAAAATTCCACTTTACACCCTTCACGCACTTATGACATGTTCGCAAAAATTACAATTATGAAGACTGAAGGGTGCACAATATACTCGTATAAAAACATAATCACATAATACGAGGTATCTTGTTTCCCAGTAAGATTTCGTATCAACATAATATTTTATTTACACAAATATAAATATAAATGGTATATTAAAACTGCTTTAATAACATATCATCCTTTAATATCACAATAATTAACCTAACAAAACAAGCATTCACATTTAAAATTACTGTATTTCCATTGTAGCAGTTAATAATGGGCAAAGAAAAATCCAATATCCTTATTCAAGGACGGTACACATATCAGAAAACCGGTAACTACAAATCAACGGTTCTCCCTCCCTCCCCCAAGGTTACCATCACACCTTAATTTCCCACCCATACCTATAAACACATATTTTCTTCTTTTTTACTCTCATGGGGAAGGTAATGGGAACTTAAGGCCAAGTTACACTATCGGGCAAACGTTTTCGGTGAACGTGTTGCGTAACGTTCGATTGAATGGAACGTTGCACGCAAAATACTAATGTTGTATACGAGGTTATACTAATTCATATACATCTATTGAACAGTTAAAAAAATGTGCAAGCAATTTTTGTTCGTGTATTTATGGTTAAAAAGTATAAATACATAAATAGCTTATGTATTTATTCGAAACAACATGTTGGTGTTCTAGCCTGTGGGTACATCGATGATGATTATACGGTCGTACAAATCGTCGCAACATGTCTTGCAACAAATGACGCAACGTTTTCTAAAGCTTTTTTATTTTAAGCCGAGCACACATTAGAGACGTTTACTGTGAAAAGTGTCGCAACGTAAAAAAAGTTAGAAAACTAATTTTCCTTTACGACTGTATACAATTTGTTTGTTGGCTTTTAATGAAAAAAATGTCCACTTAAATTATTTTCCTCTTCAAATACAGGGACAGCTTTGTTTGTATTTATTTTACTTTTCTCTTACATTAGGTACTGGCGTTTCAAAGTGTTTCTATATTTAGCTGTACTCGATTAGGTTTCTCTGATTGACGTTCCAAATAATAAATGAAAAATAAAAATTCTTTTTAAAACAAACAGTTCATAGTTATGTAGACGTATGTAATAAGAGCAATAGTAATAGTCGACTTACTCCCGAATACTGAAAGGCTATTCAATTTTAAGTCGCGCTTAAGTATAGTTCTGTCCCTACAAATTCTTTGTATAATGACAGAGATGACACGATATTTAAGTGCAACTGAGTAGTCTTTCAGTATTCGGGCGTTATCAATTGAGATGACAACTTAACATAACATAACATCACGCCTTTTTCCCCGAAGGGGTAGGCAGAGGTGCACATTATGCTGTACAAAGTAACACCCACTTTTCACTTTTTATATTATGAGTACCATGTAATAGGGGGTGAGCCTATTGCCATATACCGGGCACAGTTCCAGACTCCGTGCTACTACTGAGATTTTTATAAAACCCAGTAATACTTTGCCATATTGCCATATGGCCAATTCTCTAGTTTCATAGTTTTGTTGATTGGATTGTGCTAGAACAATGTAACACTAAAATCCAGTCAAAGAGATCGAAAAGGGTATGTGTTGTGTGTTTCTAATAGCTCTTAAAACCTTTTACATTCTGCCTTCAATAGAAATATCGTTTTGTGAATTTTCTTTCAATTTTATTTGGGTATAGACGAGTCTGTATGCTCTGTCGATTTTGCACCAGGATTTGCGCTCGCGAAGCCATATAGCTGGATACGTCCTCTCATGTAGAAGCACTCGCCAGTAGAACAATGCAATTGATGCATGGATGCATATTCATTTCATATCTGCGTATGTATGAATACGAGCAACACTCACACCTCTTTGCCTTTTATAGCTTTGTGTAAGATTTTAGTCATCCGACTCAAACTGGTAAGCACACATACGGAACACCTGATGGTGAGATCGGCATCACCCATACCGGCCTTTGGGGATAAGGAATTCGAGGATTGTTGGAATTCAGGGATTGGGGAGATTGAGGAGGGGGGATAGTTGGGCATCCAGTAACTTCACGGTCGAACCGGCGGCCCATTCGTGCCAAAGCATCGTTTCCCCACACTTATGATTGCAGAGTCGACTTTCAAATAAAAGGTTGGATCTCCAAAAATGCACTGTGAATCACTGTGGTCCGAGTTCCAGAAAGATTTTGAAACGATTAGAAAAATAGTAGGGAGATTCCTTCCTGTCATTTGCATGTTTAACGATGTATTGTCAACCACAAACAACCCTGATGTGAAATGTGAATATGGAACTTAAGTTATGACAGTTTCTTTAAGATTTTTTCTAACTTAGTCAACCTTCGATTAGTCCTCTTACCGATTTCGGTAACGGCAACCCCTTATAATAGCTATCTCTTGTCGCATTCCCTGATATAGCTGGCAAGAATGAATTTAATGTAGTGAGATCGAAGCAGTTAACCGAAAGATTGAATCCTTATAATAATTATTTTACCATTAATTTTAAAGAAAAAAAAGATTTTAAAATTCCAACAATTTCCATTTCCAAACAACTAAAATGAAACACGGCAGACCTAGAACCTAATATCCCGAAAACAGAAGTCTTAAAACTCAATAAAGAGAGGAGATCCATCAAAATATGGACGAGTAGGAAAATTACACTAAGAAAGTTGTCCAATATCTCTGTGGAACAACTCGAAACATTCCTTGAGTAAAGTGACTAACTTCAGTACTTTCCCTATGAATATTTGAGTTCAGTAAATAGATGATTTGAAGATTCTCAGCTCAAATACAAGAGAAACGCTTTCGACAGAGATTTTGCTAATATGTCGAGTAAGGTCTGGGTGAAAGCTATATGCTCATGATAGTATCTTCCAACTTGTGACGTCACGTGTTACACTGCGTCTAGTGTGTCTAATACTGCAGTTTTGCAAGTGTGATCTCATGTGTCCTACTACTAACTTGTCTACTTGTCCAAAAAACTTTAATAAATATATAGTTTGAAAATTTGTTCGTGTGTTCTGTCAAATTGTATGGCTTTTTACGAAACTATGGTATCTTTAGACTATAAAGAACTCGGTAACGAACCAGTGTTTACTGATGGTTACTACATCTGTACTGCACATGTTTATTTTATTTATAATCAAATTTTTTATGGTATAAGCCGATAAACGAGCAGACGGATCATCTGATGGTAAGCAATCGGCGTCGCCCATGAACACCTAGAACACCAGAGGCCAGACCTTTACCTATAGTTCAAAAAACACAAAAAAACTAATTTTGTAAATTTTACTTTTCATTTGTTTTAGTTTTTGACGTCGGTTTTATTACCTGTATACTAAATAACTTTGCTGACCTTCCCCACTACTTGTTACCTTCATACCTTCATAAAATGTCACGACAGAAATAAATATCTAAGAGACTGTAAAGTATTATTATTTGGTTACATACAGACGCATTACATTATATGAGAGTGCAACAGATAAACTCAATCATCGTAAATTGCATCCATGTCCTCTCTGTGCAACAACAACGTTAACACAATTTGTAACACAGTTGCGCGTCCCTCCATTAGTTGTCTTTAGTTCAAAAGTGTATACGTCAAACTTAAACATTATGGACCTAGATGAATGTGTTTTAAAACTACCACCAACTGTTAAGGGATGAGCAGCAGACTAAAAAAACTAAAAGTTTACAGTGTATTTACAATGTAACTCCCATTTTTCACTATTTATGTTATGAGTACCATTTAATAGGGGGTGAGCCTATTGCCATATACCGATTACAATTCCAGACTCCGTGCTACAACTGAGAATTTGTTTTAAAAACTCAGTAGTACTTTCCCTGACCAAGGAATCGAACCCGAGACCCCTTGCCCGGCAGTCGCACTTGCAACTACTCGGCCAACGAAACAGTCAAAAAGAATTATAAGAAATAGAAAAAGCAATATGGCACTTTGTACATTTTTACTTACCTTATATTTTTCGATGTAACTGTCAATCAAAGTCTTTGAACATAGCAATGCTGTCTCTGGCTAGGGTTCCCGTTGACAGTGACGTGAATAACATTTTAATATGTGAATATTATTTTTTTATAATACTACATTGTACAGCAATGTGTGTAAAGTGGTTGACAATAAGTAGGATTTTTTTTAAGGGGGGACAGTCATCGAATGACTGCTCCCGCCTAGGTGAGGCGGGAGGGAGTGTCAGACTCTTACTGACTAAAAACCACCCCATTCCTTCTCCTGCACGTCGAGCCGGAGCCCCGGTTACCCGTTAGGTTCTCCGCGACACGATAAGTAGGATAAGGGTGAAAGTCACTTTAATAGCTTTACAATAAGAATAGGGTAGATGCCTAATTTTTATTTAATGTCCGTCTGGTAGATTGCTTTAAATCATTAGAAACGTATTTTTTATTTTCTTACAGAAACGAATACTTTAACGATATTTTGATTTGAAATGTCGCGAGACGTCACTTCTATGTACATTTTATACGTAGAAATGACGTTTTAGCCCCCACTCCTAAACTTTGATTCGTTTCATCTACGACAAAATAAAAAAATACGTGTCTAATATTTTTTCATTACCTAACTTACGGACTAATTAGATTTTTAATTTTCATACCCTGTCGTCATTTCAATTGCAATGTAGTTTCACTTACAATAAAAAATGATTCACCCAAGATCCACCAAAATTTTTTACTTATCTAAAGAGCTTCGTCGCTTAGCAACCACATCGAGCAAATAAACCACCATTGAAAAATCCTATTACAAACAAGTAATAAGAAAGAATAATTATTAAAACATTTACCCAGAATTTACGGCAGACATTTTCTAATTGTGCGGAAAAGTTGAGCTATAAAAAACCTTACGTATCTATAAACTAGGTCAACTTTCCTCTAGGGAGGTTACAAGAGGCCGAAAGGTGCTTAAATCGGTAATACAAGGAGCTGATAACATCTTATTGCGATCACAAATCCACCTTCAGGCCATAGTGATTGGAACTTTATCCCTTCGATTTTATTAGAAGGGGAAGATGCCCGTAATGGTAAACGGTAGTCTTTTGTTTTTTCTACACCATGGAGGTGTTAAACAAAGTTATAGCTTGATAGGCCTCTTGCAGCTGTAGCCAAATGCCATATAGCGCTTGCCTACATGTAGAGTAGGTAGTACCTATACAAAAACAAACACAAAAATATATTTGAAATGGCACTGTATGTGTTCTTATAAAAATGTATGACAAATGTAAAATATTTATACAACAACGCTTGTCGTTTTTGTGTATGTTAACCGGACCTTAAATGAATCCGGATACAGGATCAGTGGAAAATTTATAACTCTATAAATCCTGAACCGGGTAATCCAGTAAAAATTATGCACTTATTTCTAGGTATTCTATGTTTTATATTCAAATAAAATAATACTGTGCTATCAGTTAAAACACTGCTTGATCAAACGTTGTTATTAGCCGTTTTTATTTACATTTCTTTATGGAATAAGACAGTAAACGAGCAGACGGATCACCTGATAGTAAGCAATCGATACTGCCCATAGACACCAGAAACACCAGAGGTGTTTTACGTGCGTTACCAGCCTTTTGGGGATTAGGATTTAGAGGAATTTTGAGGATTCGGGAATTGGGGAGATTGAAGTAATTGGGCCTCCGGTAACCTCACTCATCAGACGAAACACAATGCAAGTGTTGTTTCACGTTGGTTTTCTGCGAGGCTGTGGTGTCACTCCGGTCAAGCCGGCCCATTCGTGCCGAAGCATGGCTCGCCCACACTTCTCAAAATATCCCATGGTATGACTATGTGGTGGCTGGGGTGGCGGGGGAGGTAGGCTGCACCGTTGGTTTTATTTTTTTATATTGGTAATTTTTCTTCTATTCAATGCATTTTTTTGTTATTACACATTTGATAGAGACTAGGCAGTAACACTCTCTGATAAACCTGAACCTTTTAAACTGCCATAACTAACCCACTAAGTCAAGTGTAGATATTTTGGTTAACCGCCTAACCATCTAATGGTCAACCAACTCTTGAGTATGAGTTACTTAGTGTGTTTGAGCATCTAAACCTAACACTTGTACCTTTATGTGTCACCTTTTTTAAACATACTTATATATAAATAGGTTGGTGAAAGCCAAAGTGTCGTTACAAATGTCACCTATCTTTGCTTAGAGGTATGATAGTTAAAATTTATGAGAGGTTGGAAAACGAGCTCTAGTTTTACATACGTATGGAAAAGAATGATTTCAGAGTACTTACCAATTTTCACCATTCTAAGTATAGAATACTGAGTACAAATAAATACAAGGTTTTGCCTAAAATAGCCTCCATTAACAGGAATCCCTTCGCGCATACAAAATGTTTAAAGGGTGTAGCGGATTAGAAGAGGCGTCCATGCATTCAGAATTTTTAAAGCGAGATCTTGAGAAAACTCGAAACTGAATACAAATGTTCAAAAGGACTACTTCACTTTCATCTTTTTGTAAAATATTTTTAGATGTTAATCCTTACTGATGTTTTAGATAGACTACGAAAGTTTGTTCGTTTGTATTTCTTTCACGTAGCAACTTGGGAGCAAAATTATTATAAACCTTAGAACTCACACTTACTGTCTTTATGATAATGCATCAAGTAAACAATTTTTATGGTATCATAGAAAAAATCATGCAAACAGATTGTTTACTTACTTTTCACCTTTTGTTTTATGTATAAAGAAATTATATTTTTCTAATTATCCTAAATTTTTATGGAAAAGAGACAAAGGAGCAAACTGATCACCTGATGAACATCAGAGCAGTAACAAGTGCAGTACCTACTATAGTGCCTTTTGAAGATTTGAAATGGGGAGATTTTTAATGGATGGGGAGAATTTCGGGAGGTTTTCCGAAGCGATAAGGCGTTCAAACCTTCAGGAAAAGGGCGTGTTCCTTTTTAAAAGGCTAGCAACGCACCTGTGACTCCTCTGATGTTGCGTGTGTCCATGGGCTGCGTTTATCGCTTACCATCAGGTGATCCATCTAGTCATGTGCCTCTTATTCTATAAAAAAATTATAGGAAAATTAGAAAAATATCATTTCTTTATAATCAAAACAAAAGGTGAAAAATAACTAAACAATCTGTTTCAAGTTAAAAGTGGCCTATTAACGAAACGCAAATACAAAACTATCAAACCTGTTTTGTGGAATTAGCACGGCTGAACCACGAAGGTTACACTATCAACTAACTGCACGTAATTAGAAAGTTCGTATGTAACAAAATAAACACGCTGTAGCTCACCTGTTTGTTCCCGTTTAGTAGTTCACTCGTTAATGAGGTTAGATTTAGAGCTGAGAGAACAGCTCTAGTTGAGGTTTTGTGTGACTAGTAATAGGAGATGAAACGAAGCTTTTTTTTTCTTTTCAGTTATATTTCTTTTAGCAAGTGTGGTGATTAAAACTCTTTTCTTATTCATGTGAGATGAGGTCTTTACCCAGCGGAGGAACAGTTTTAAGCTGATGATAATGATGATGTTAGCAAGATGAATTAGCGTAACCTAAATCCTACTTCCTTTTATAAAGGTCACAAAAACAAGTGCCTGTTGACAAATTAAAGCTACGGTTGAAGTCAATCTTTGAATGAGTGATCCACCAGCCTTAACATTTTGAAGATCTTCCGCATCTTGATGAGTGTGTACTTCATTATCATTTTCTGAAATATAAGTATGAAGTGTCACCAACTTGGGTATCGATCATTTATTTTCAATAAAAAAATTACCAACCACTTTTAGTCAGTGTTTTTTTTTTTTGTTAGGATAACGACAGTGCAGTCCAGTAGACACATACTAATACACGGTTTATGAGCACGAAAACACCAACAAACCGTAACAACAAAATTCCACAAAAACTCTTTCAATAAAAACAATATTTTAAAAACAAAACTTAATTTACCGCACTCAAAATTAATTGAATATGTTGCAAAATTATAAGCACTTTTACAGATGTAGACAAAATTCGCAGTACAGTGGAAGTAGGAAATATAATGACGCAGCCTCGCTTACTAAGTGTACCCGGTACCGTAATTGCAAGGGCCTGATGATGGCCCGCACTAGCGAGCAGTTTTTAAACTAGCTGTTGCCCGCGACTTTGTCCGCGTAAAATATGAATTTTAGAACAAAATAAAAGTAACCTGTCCTCTTGTCTGTTGAAAGTTGAGAGTATAATGTGTCTTATATCGAAAGCCGGTGTTTCACAGATAAAAGGCTATGTTACTCCTTAGTGCATCAGCTACCTGCCAATAAAAGTCTTGTAAAATCGGTCCAGCCATTCCAGAGATTAGCCAGTACAAACAGACAGATAAAAATTGTAAAACAATATATTTTGGTATGAGTATCGTATGTAAGTACATTCATATGCATGTAATAAAAAGCGATTATTTTAATATTACAAACAGTCGCTCCAATTTTATTTATTTGTACAAGAAAATAATTATATCTGACAGAAAGTTTTTTATAAATTACATTAGGTGGCATTATGTGCTGAAATGTGAACCTCTGCCTACCCCTGCGGGGATAAAAGGCGGGATGTAATGTAATGTGTTAGTAAATCAATAAGTGTGTTTTTTCTTGTATCTAGTTGTTGTTATATAATATCCTGCTGTTAAATATTTTCTAAACTCTCCACCCAAAGGTTGTTTGGAAGAGATCATTCCAGGTAATTATGGATGGATCATTCCATCATTGGTATCTTACCAATCACATCTTTGTGGCCTATTTCTCATTCCTTCAGTCGTATCCGCAGTTTTCTTGTACTATGACTCTCCTTGGGTTAGGTATAATACCTAACCTACCTGAGCATATATGCAATAAAATAATTATTATAAACACACACTATTATTCTCGTCGTAGGGGCTCGGAGGTTATAACGCCGTTTATCATGCATGAGGGTGTGGGTCTGAAACCTACCAACGGCAAGTACTAATGTGACTTTTTCAGAGTTATATGTACTTAACTCGTCGAGTACCGGTTTTATAGACACAATTAAAGAACAATAGGTCGCGGTCACCGGTGACTTTCTAAGATTATTCAGACACCACTGACAAACAGTGAAGGAAAACATCGTGAGGAAACCTGGACTTATAACTTCTAATTATAAGTTTGAAATTGCCAACCCGACCCGCAATAAACAAGCGTGGTGATTAATGCTCAAACCTTCTCTGTGTGAGAAGAGGCTTTGCTCAGCAGTGGGCATTTATAGGCTGTTGATGATGACGATGATTATTATTATTATTCTACA